CACATGTTCACATAAGTTTCATCACGTAGTCCTTCAATGTTTGGGAATGACTGTATTTTAATAATTAATCTAGGTCCATCATTACCTACCTTGAGAGGAACAGGATCTGAAAGTTTACGTACTTCAAAAACTTGGAACAAAACCACATATTTCTACAAGATAAGACCTACCTTACTACAATGCTTGGTTTCTTTCCTGTAATTAAATAAATTAAATGAGGTAACACTAAGCATTTCATGCTAACCATAAGCTATGTATGACTGGCAGTTATGTCTTTAAAAATAAATTTAATAAATCAGTTTGTTTAATCAAAAAAATGTTTTAAAATAAGGAATCCATAGAAGAAAACAGTAGAAATGATCTCTGGTGAGATAGAAGTGGGAATTCACAGGTAGAGCCTGCAAGGCCCTGATCAGCTTTAATACTTGATGTCCACCTTCGGCCTGATATAAAAAAAACAGAGATATCGGTGGGAAAGTTTTTGAGTCAATGTTCCTATTAATGCTCTTACTAAAGAAAACAGTCATATACTCCAACATAAGACATAAATTGAGGTGGCAGATGCCCATTTGAACCTTCCTGTCAAGCAGCAGGATACAATTAGAAAAAGAGTATCATTACAGGGAACTGCAGCCAAAACAATGAACATTGTTCCCATGCTCCACATTTCCATTCAGACAAGCAGAGGTGGGAATGGAAACCACTCTTGGGAGCATCCTCTCACAGCCTGGGTTTTAGATGATGGAAAAAGGTCCTCCGTTTAATTCCCTCATTAACTGAGAGCTTGGGCAGGTTCACACATTCAACCTCAAAGCCATTAGCATAAAGAGAGCCAAAATAAATCCATGGTCTATATTCAGGACCCTCATGACCACAATAACATAATTAGAGGGCAACACATCTTAAATACCATCATAATTTCTAGAGGGATCCAATGATAGCTACACTTAGCCAATTTGAGCTTGAGCAGGTTTAAGGGACTAAACTTTCTGCCATGATCCTCACATATTGGTTTATATCTCTTTTCCCCTCTTGTAACCCCAACTCTTTCATACACTTGCTTTCATCCCAGATTCAAACAAGCAGACTCCTTTGTCTCCTCTCCCCTTGTCTTTAACACGATTCCAAAGGCAGTGACTTCTAGGACTGATGATATACCCCATGCTGGCTTTAAGCATTGACCCCATACAGCTCAATACACTCACCCTTTACTATCCTGCCACCAACCACCACTTACCCCTACTGAATGACTGGGGGAAGGAAAAACCTCTCAATTCTCTCTGCTAAGAAATTTCTTTCCAATATAATGTCCGCCAATGGGGAATCACACAATTCAATTAGTTTGTGGCAACGGGCAAGGCACTTCCATCTCGTGGGCCTCCATTGCCTCTACTGTAGGATAAAACAGCTGGAAGATGTCAGAGCCCTATAAATGACTGCGAAAGAAAGGGTGCCTGTTGCCAAAAGGCACAGGGTTCACCCTGTTCCCTCCTTTGATCAGAGCAACTCTGAGCTTTCATTTTATATACAGGTTCTGATTACTTTAGGACAAGGTTCCTCCGATTTAGAAAGTTTGAAAACTGCTTAGCATGGCACTTGGTACACAGTAGGCACTCAAATCATTTAATGAATAACTGAAAACCAAAGGGACTTAGATGATCTCTAAGATCCCTTCTGATTTTCTGTAGTTCCACGGCTGATTAACATGAATTAGAGTCAACTGGTACCTCTCTGCCTTTTTGTGAAGGTATTGAGACTTCTTCTGCTTGTTCCTTTATTTTAGGGAACAAAAGTATGCCCATGGCTGGTTCCAGAAAATAATTTCCTAGTCACTGGGTACAAGGTTCAGACTAGCTGAAAATAAGAGAACACCTTGGCAAGCAGGAAAAAGCAGTATAAGAAGTGTATGATTTAAAGGGTATCCAAGTCTGTGTCTTTGCAGTAGAAGAGTCCAAATGTAAGAAAAATGACAAGATAAAAGGCTAAAACAACATCACATTCCCTCCAAAGATAATTAAAACAAATAAAAGGGCCAAAGTATATCCTACATCCCTTGAAAATTCTCCTGAACATCACTACCACCAGCATCCAATTTTGTAGGTCATGAACGAAAACACTTTAGACTTACTCTGTGATTTTGGGGTCCAGGTTGCCAATCCATAACCGGTGCCCTTCCTGTAGGGAACCCTCTGAAAGGATGGATGCATTCTCCAGGGGAAGAGTTTTGGTTTCTGCTTCCATCAATCTCTATGAAATACTAAAGGAAATGTAAACATTCAGGCAGGAGAGGAGCAACACTGTGTGAACATGAGACTTCAAATTCAATTCAACAAACATTTATTCAAGGAGAGCATGCCCTGGGCAGTCCTTCAAAGGCCTCAGTTATGTCACAAGCAGGGCCCCAGCACCAGTTCCCTTGGGACAGCTCCTCTGGCAGCCAGAAAGCAAAGGCTTCCATTTAAGGTGAAAGGGGCGTGGTTCTGCGTGTAGAAACTAGTTTTCCTCTTCTAAAGCCACAGACTGACTGGGCAGGAGGCCAAAGTCTCTATTACTACATGATACTCCAGCTCAACAACTGTGACCCAAAATATGCCTTGGAAACCATCAGAAAGCAAGTCTTAATGACACTTAATGGTATGGGTGGGGAAGAACAACAGTAAGTAACAAATTAGTTATTATTATGTTTAATACTTTGGGAGACACTGGAAAGAAAAGACTAACTTTCTCCTTAGTTATTCTAGCTCCATTTACTAGCTCTGTAACCTTTGTAAAATTACTTAACCACTCTGTTCCTCAGTTTCCTCATTTGTAAAATGGGGACAATTAAGAGACGTGCAGATTCACTTGAGTTAATACACCAAAAGCATTAAGAACAATTCATGGCATCTTAGAAGCATTTGATTAATTTTTGCTTAAATGATTGTCAGTCTTAGTTCCTGAAATGTCTCATCTCACAGCCAAAAAAGGAGGATGAGGGTTATGGCACAGACAGTAATTGAAAGAGCAAAAACCTTGCGGTCAGAAGGCCTGGTTCCAAATTTTGGCATTTCCACTTGAAGTCACTTTCAAGCTTCTGTTTCCTCATCTCTACATAATAAACCTTGCCCTGCTTATAACTTAAGAGTTACTGAGAAGACCAAAAATGAGACATCAGATGTAAAATAAAGCTTTAATGCATAATGTGGTAGAGAAAGAAAAGATAAAAGGGCTGGGAAGCTGGCAGGTTCAGAACTCCCTGCTGGAGAAAACATGTGTGCTATAAAAGCAGAAGTGCTCCGAGATCAGTACTGTGGGAACTGTGTGTTAATAACAACAGCTGAAGTAGAACGAACACTGCCATCATCTCTTATTCACCTCAGCACAGACTATACGGTCTGGTACACAGTAGCCCCGAGATAACTGTTAAATTGTCTTGTGTTTACCTATCCCCACACATGAAGGCATTCTTCCTCTCTCACTCACATATTCAATCTGTTCCATAATGGGTGACAAGCAACTCCTAACTACTAAACCCAGGGCTATGTGCTGAAAATAGAGAAGCGATAAGCCACAGCTCTTAATCCTACTTCCTGGGAGAAAGGTGAAACAGGCATAAACAGAATCCCAGCTGTGGAAACCGGGAAGGAGAAAAGTTTTGTCTTCTCCCTGCTTTCCTTTCCTCCTACTTTCTCCCAGATCATTCATTCAAAAAATTTTTATAGAGCCTCTATTTTCCAGGCATTGTAGAGGTACTGAGGACAGAGCAGTGAAAAAACAAGGTCTCTGCCCTCTGGACGCTTATATTTGGAAGAGGGGCAGGACAAAACAAAAGCAAAATAAACAACAAAATGTAATGTGTGATAAGTGCTGCAAACAGTTAAGCAAGGCGACTGACAAGGAGACTGGGGTTGGACTACTTTAGAGTTAGTGGGGAAGGGAGACCTCTAAAAAAAGACGACATTAGAGATGAGACTTGAATGACAGAACCTTCTAATTTTCTCGTGTCTAAAACCAGCAATAATACCAACAGGTACTTAATATCACACGAGGGTATCATTTTTAGTAGGAAGAATGCAGACTATGGAGCCAAAGGATATGCACTGAAATCATGGCTTTTGCACCCAGTTATTGTGTCTTTACCAAGTCATGATCTCCCCCTTATGTGCCCTATTCTCAGAAAAGCTTTCCCTTTTAGGGTAGAAAATCTTGTTAGTCTATCAGTCACCTTTTTATTTCCATATAAGACTAACTCAATGCGTTATATACTATTTTATCTTCTGTTTCCCTCACTAGAATGTAAGCTACTAGAGGGCAGGGCCTTGCCTATTTTGATCATGATTCTATCCCTGCCTGGCTCCTGGCTGGCGCTCAACATCACCGAATGAATCAATGAAGCAGGCCACCTCAACACTGGGAGCCTGTTTCTTCTTGTTTCTTATAATGGGTATAATTATCCCTACCTTAAGGGTTGTTATGAGGCTTAAATATGACAATACATGTGACAGCTTAGCAGGGCGTTTTTTGAGGAACGGTAAAGTGTAATAAGAGATCAAGAAGGCATACGGCCATCAAAATCCTTTGGGTTTGCAATGGCGACAATTCCTTAGATTCAGAGTTCACAAAACGCCTACTCCCCTAGCTAAGCTTCAACGACCCTGGAAACCAGGAACAGTTATTTGGGGTAACTGAAGTGCAGAGAAGCAAGTGTGCTTGTTCCCACAAGCTAACGGTAATGGTGGGGTCAAGCCTGGAATCCCAGCTTCCCGATTCCTGGCCGCGAATTCCCAGATGTGAAGGGCTATTACTAGGATTGTTATTTCCGGGCTAGCGGCGGGACAATCCGGGGCGGGGCCTGAGAAGCTGTCTCGCAAGGGCAGCCTCCTCCGGGAGCCCCTTGCGGGTCTGGCGCTAAGGTGCAGGCGGGCGTCGCGGCCGGACTCACCTTGTGACCCCGGCGTCGTTCCCTCGGCTCATGCCCCCAAAGCAGGTCCCCACTCCGCGTTCCGACGGCCCTCTAGATGCGTCCACCTCAAAGCCGCCAGCTGCCAGGCCGCCCGTGACGCACTACGCCTGCGCCGCCCCGCCGCCCCGTGACGTCACGACGCCCGCGCCGCCGCCGTCTCGCGAGTCTTTTCCTAGTACCCTGGGAGCTAGCTGGTGAGTGGCCTCGGCAGAGCCTCGAGGCGCGCGCGGGGTCCGGGTGCCAGAGACCTCTATTCAGGGACCTCTAGGGGATTTTAGGGGGCTTGAACACTGTCCATGATGCGTTCCGTTCAAATCCGGCTTGACCTTTATGGCTGGGGGCGGGGCCTGTGGATCAGAGCGAGTCTCAAGGGGTGGGGGCGGGGCTCATCGCTTCAGCTAGGAACTTCCAGGATGGGAGGCGGGGCTTACCAAATAGTAGCTGCTGTTTAGTAGCCCGCTGCCTGGCAGGAACGTTTAATCTTCGGAACGATGCCATGGGAGTAGGTATTTTTATCCCCGGAAGCTCGGAGAAATAACTTCATCAGGGTCACGCGGCTCGTGAATGATGGCGCTCAAATTCCAGAGCTTCAACTTTTAACCATTACTCTGTTGTCATTTCAGTAGCCCCTCTCTGTTTACAAAGTGCTTCTGCAGCCCCTGTCTCATTCGGTCTTCCTGGTAACTCTGACAAATAGTATTGTCAACTACAGAAGAGACTGAGGCCTAGAGAGTTTGACCTATCTAAGGTCACATACCTACAAAGTGCTCTTTCCCAGGCTTTCTGTAAGTTTGATACCTTTTTCCTTTCACCGTGCTCTATTGCATTCTCAGAATCTTGGAGAGCTTTATACTTGGAAAGAGTGAAGAAAACTGGTCTGACCTTTTACAGTTGAGGAAACAAGACTATGAAGAAATGACTTGCTACAAGTCTCAAGTCAGTGGCAGAGTTTCCACAGATGCTTTTTGAATACAGGGTAGTTAGGAATCTATAAAGGTAGTTATGAAACTGAAAAGGATGGTTGGCAAGGAGTGATGAGAGAAGGAGCATTGGAATCCAGACCTCCTAGCTCTTAGGCAGAAACCCGTTCTCCACCTGTTAAAAGTGTCTCATCCTTAGGCTGTGCCAGAAAGTGGACCTGCAGATAGTTAGATACTGTAAATGCCTTCACATGGCACTGAATTTAGAGAAGAACTTGCCCTGTTATCTCTAAGTGAAAATATAGCAAACCAGGAGATAATGGAAGTAGTGCTGGGAAGTAGAGCCCAGGACCTTCTGTCTGAAGCTTAGATTTCAATTCTGGTGCCAGCACTGTGACCTTGTGGAAAGACTTAATCTTTCTAGACTTTCACTCATGTATTCATCACATTTATTCAATGTCTCCTATGTTCAGGATTATGCTAGGGACTGGGAGTACAGCTGTGTACAAGACAACCATAGGTTAGTCCTTGTAGTGCTGATAGTCTTACGGAGGGCATTAGACAATAACCAAATAACTACACAAAAGTTAATTGATATTGTTAAAGTAAGTGCCTTGAAATAGTACAGGATAATGTGACAGTGGGCAATAGGACACTTGACCTCTTGCACTAGGGGAAACAGCCAAGGAAGGTGTCCTCTGAGGAAGTGATGCTTAAGCTGAAATCTGAAAGATGTGACATAATTTATTCAAGAAGTGGGGGATGATCATTTCAAGCAGATTCAATAGTATGTTTGAAGGCTCTGGAACAGGAAGAGTTTTCAAGGAAATGAAAGATTGGTTTGCGTATTTGTAAAATGTGTGTGGTAATCACAATCCTGGTTATTGTGGGAATAAGGTAATCCATGTGAAAGTATTATATATACAACAAAGGCTTGTATGTGCACACCCATGTATATTAAAATGTACGTATTATAAGCTAATATGCAGCTGGTTTGGTAGGGGTTGCTGGGACAGCGAATAAGCCAAGACTTTGTGTTTCTCATCTGATTCTAAAATTAAAATGCACCTTTTATGAAAAACAGGAAAATTCAAGTTTTGAGAACCTCAACTTTGAGTAAAGAATATGTGCTTCATAGTTTTTAAACCATTTCAACAGTTTAAATAATAATGCCAGTAATTGTACTGTTTTATGTACACAGTATAGAACAGTGGTTAAAAGCACAGACTCTGGAATGAAATTGCCTGTGATAAAATCTGGCGCAAATTATTTATCTGTACCTCTTTTTCTTTATCCATAAAATGGGTATAATAATTTACTTATCTCTTAGGGTTATCATGAGGTAAAAATGAGCTACCGTATGTAATACAGTACTTAGAATTGTTTCTGACACATAGTTATCACTATATAATTACTAGCTATTGATCCATTGTTATTGTTATAATTACCTTTTTAAAGAGTTGTTAATATCAACATGATAAAAGATGCAGTGGAAACTGTAGCTCAGAGAGGCAGATGATCTACCCAAGGTCACACAACTAATAAGTAGGCAAACTGAGATTCCAGTTCAAGACTGCATCCAAAGCCCAGATAATTCCTGCCACATTTTTTCTGAATGTAGGTTAGTTTTGTTGTATAATACTTGGGCTCTTGTAACATAACAGTTCCTTCCCTCAACCTTCAGTGCAGAACTGAGTGTTAGTATGCGTGTTCTTAAGGTAAAGGGTCCAAGGGGCTGCCTTTATTGAACTTACGCTTTGAAGTTTCCTGATTTCTGTGCAATTAAAATCTACGCCTTAAAGCATTTCAGCAATGTGGTTTATTTATAGAGTTGTCTTCCGGGTCACGTGTACTGGGTCTGCTTTTGGGTTGCGTTTTCTGTCAAAGGTTGTTTATTTCTAACCCATTTTGATTTCCTGTTGCTTTGTGGATTAGTATTATGACCTGCAACAAGAACACCAGGAAACCTGTCTTAAATGGGACAGCCAGAAAGAGACCCTGTAGATTAAAAATAAAAAAGCACATTATTTATTATACAGCCATATTTGGACATAAGTATGGTTTAGGCATTGGCTATATTAGGCAAAAACCTAGGTATAGAAACCTCAGAGGCAGATTTCAGTGAACAGTTTTGCTGCTATAGGGCCGAGCCATTAGCTCCATACCCTTGGCCAGTGACAGTCTCTTTAGGCCTCAGCTTCTGTATCTATAAAAAGGAGATTATTGTACTTTCTTTGTGGCATTGTTGAGAGGATTAAATGAATCATATGCATAAAGCAAGCAGCCCAAACCTGCCTCCATGGATAGTAGCTATTGATAATAATTAAAGAAGAGGAAAAAATTGCTGCCATTTTTAAACGTAGATCTGTTTTTACTGACTGCATACACTGATCACTGACAGCTAGCCTCTCTTGCTATTAAAAATTCCATCAGGAAAAGTCATTTGCCTTTGTGCAACTCATTTGCTTTTCTTAAAAAAAAAAAAGGTAGTAATGATAACCAGCTTTATTAAGCAGGTACTATATTCCTGGCACTGTGCTAAGTTTCTACATGCATTCACTATCTCATTTTATTTTAAGAACACAATTATTTTTCTCATTTTAAAAATGAGTTAAGTGATGCCCCCGAAAGTGGAATGAATTGCCCAAAGTTGAAATTTTTATCCAGATCCAGTGCTCCAGGCTTCCTTGTACGTTAGTAATGAATGACATGCAAAATGTCTTTATTGTGTCTGACCCTGGCATGGAAATCTTTGAAAGGAAAGGTGCTAGCTATCAATAGATATTCTTTTTTGGGGAAGGTTTGCTCCTGCTGCCTACTAGACACTGTGCCCAGTGTTTTATGTACATTAAATCATTTGTTATTCCCAACCCTAAGAAATAACTATAATTATCTGCATTTTACAGTTTGAGGAAATCAAGATGCAGAGATATTCAGGGGCATTTAGTCACTGGTAGAGATGGGATTAGAGTCTAAGTCTTGTGGCTGCAAAACTCATGCTCTTATTCAGTTACTTTTATATACTGATGTTAGACTGCATCAGAATTTCAGGATGGGATTTTTTAAATGAGGTATGGGATTGTTTTTCAAATATGGTAGCTTCCAGGTATTTGAAGCTAACTGTTCCTAATTTTTAGCTGAGTAATAATGGCCAGATTCCTGGCAGAAGCCATTAATGCTGCATTTGCCGGTTAGCTAGAGCTGTGTTCTGTCCCAGAGGTAGCTGTAGGCTCCAACGTCTTTCCATGGTCAGAGACCTCAGGAGTATAATGTGTAACTTGTGTTAACACCAAGGAGGGTGGCATTTTCCAGAGCTTTCGTTCTATAACATGGCAGACCTCAAACCTCAACCATGCTTCAGACTCACATTAAAGTGCATTCTAATTGGTAATCAGTGCATAAGGAACCAAAGAAAATTTTGATTAAATGCTGTCATGTGAATTTTCCAGTCATTTTATGCCTGTTGAAATGATTTTATTTAGTTTAAAGTCCTCTTCCAGTGCTCTGCCCTTCCTCTTTATAGTGTAACTTTATCAAGATTTTGGGCCTTTTCTCCTATAGAGGTTTAATTGCCATCATTAAGGATTTAGGCTGCTGCGCATTTATTTAACTCTATTCCCTGTGTACTCAGAGGCATTTGGTGTAGTGGAAAGACCATGGCAATTTGGAGTCCCGTAGATTGTGAACAAGTTACTTAATTCTCTGTGAACCTCAGTTACTTCCTCCTGTAAAATGAGGCTAATCCTATTTCCTTGTACAGCTGCTGGGATGAGGATTAGAGATAATGTATTTAAATTGCCTATCACGTAGCTCAAAACTGATTGATAGGATTTGCTTGCTAACTGGCACAGATTAATGTCTGAAGTTGTAGGAGAGTCTGTTTTACTTACAGTGTCTTTTTGTCTTATTCTTTTTAGTGGATGTTCATAAGGATTGTCTTCAGCCATGGCCTTGGGTTTAAGGTGCTTCCGCTTGGTCCACCCTGCCTTTTGCAATTCCCTTGCAGCCTTGACCAGACCTGTTTCAGAAGTTACGATGAAGACCACGAGTGGAAGACGAAATGACCACGGGCAATACGTGGCCCGTCCAGCTGTACCAGCCCGTCATTTTGCTACCAAGAAAGCCAAAGGTAGAGACCATATGACCTCCTCACTCCTGTCTTGTTTAGTCCTTGAATATCCTAGCTGGAAGGAATCTCAGCAATGTTCTGAATTTCTCCCCTTGCCACATGAAGAAATGATGTCTCAGATGGTTCAGCTGATTAGCTGAAAAGGTCATGTGACGGAGATGGTATCAATCTATTATACCTCTTGTTTTAAATCTAAAAGAAATTAGGCATTTTTGGAGTCATGCTGCCTCATACATTGCCATGACCCTGAAAATGCCTCATTTCTTTTAGATTTAGAATTAGAGGTGTAGGTGCCAAGTAAACCAGAGTAATTGTAGCAGGGATTAGCATCTTTTCTCCTTCTAGGAAGGTCTGTGTTGGAAGTAAAATTAAAACGAGCAGGTTGTTGGGTAGGAGGTATTAGAGCTGGGGATTTAGACGGATGATCTTAATGGCTTGCATCATCCAAGAACGAGACTTTGATATACCTCAGTTCTCAGCTTAAATATTGCTTCCTCAGTGAAGCCTTCCCTGGCCTTAGACTGAATCAGGTCCCTCGTTACATGCACTCGTGTGCACTGTTATTTTACCTTTGATGTACTTAGCACAGCACTCATTAATTAATTAACTGGAGGATTGATTATTGTTTGTTATGTCTTCCATACTGGACCTTGTGAGGATAGAATCTATTTCTTGTTTAGCAGCTAATAGGAACGGACACTTAGTATATATCAAAAAAATGTTGTTGAAGGAATGAATGAATGACGAAACATTGTCAAGTAGACGTGCTATTTGCGGTGTTAAGTCAGGGAGTCCACTCCTAAGGATGGTGCTAGAAATACGCTGCTGAATATTTTTTCCACTGCTTTTCTTTTTATGGTTTCATTCAGACCTTCCCTCTTCTGTTCATAGGAAAATTACCAGGTTGCTGCAAGAGCATTAATGCATAGAAGACTTACATTCAGTTATTAGTGGTAGTAGCAATAACTTTTGATCTGTGTGTTGCATTATATATGTTTTTTAAATTCATATACATTTAATAAGTTAATTTGATCCTTAAAATTATCCATTGAATGGATTATAATTATCCAGTAAAGAAATTCTTGGTAATTATCTAGTGAAGCACAGATCTAACCATTTTGCAAATGAGAAACCTGAGGTACATATGTAAGACGTTTGCCCATGACCATATCCAGTTAGCGGCAGAACTGGAATCTGGGGGCTCCTGGTGCCCACAGCCTTGCAGTGCTGTAGGGCACTAGATGTTAGCTACGGTGCATGGTAGCATCTTTTCACATTTAATTAGCTCTTCAGTTTTTGTCTTCTTGGACTGCCTCCTTAAAAAGTTGGTTATTTGACTTTTTTCTTTGGATTAATTGGATTTTTTTCTGTATTAGGAATGCTAATCCTTTGTTGATTGTATGCATGACAAGTATCTACTTTGCCTTTTTTACTTTATGGTTCCTTCATCGAACATAAGTTTCAACGGTCATATTTTTCAGTTCTTTCCTTTATCATTTGTGCTTTTTATGTCTTATTTAACAAACCCTTACCTATCTGAAAGTCTATAAAGCTATTCTTCTGTATTTTCTTCTAAATATTTTACGGGTTTTTACTTTTTGTATTTGTGTTTTTAATCCGTGTGGAATTTATTTCTGATTATGTTGTGAGGTAGGGAATCTAATTTTATTTCTTTTTTATATGGTTAATAAGTGTGTCAGCCTCACTATTGAATAGCCTTTCTTTACTCCCAGATTTGTAATGCCTCCTCTGTCATATGTCAGGTGTCTTTGTATGTGTGATGTATTTCTGAGCTCTTGATGTGTTGAACTGCTCATCTCTCCCTGCACTGACTTTCTTAATGCCTGAATCACTGTCATAAAGTCCTGACTCCAGTGGTACAAATCTTCCCCCTCACCACACACTAGCTTTTTCCTTTTCTTCTTAGCCTTTTGCTTTTCTTTGTAAGATTTATAATCATATTGTCAAGTTTTCTCCATAAAGATCTTGCACCGTTCTTTAATCAGGTTTATATCTGGGCTATCATCATTTTTAGCACTTTTGTATATGATACAGTCTTAAAGTAACTTTTTGAATTATATATACAGAAAAGTGCATACATAAATTGTAAACGTATGGCTCAGTGAATTTTCACAAAGTAAAAGCAACCATGTAACCATCACCCAGGTTAAGATATAGAGCATCACATGTACTCTGGAAGCTTCCCTCATGTCCCTTTCAGTTGTTAACTCTTCAAAAGACAAACCCCTATCTTGACTTTCATGTCATCGATTAGCTTTGCCCTTTTTGAACTCAGTATGGATTCTTTTGTGCCTGGCTTCTTTTGACAACAATCTATATGCAAGATTTGTCCACGTTGTTGCCTGTGGTAGTTGTTGGTGCATTTTTATCTCTTTGTGGTTTTCCAGTGAATGCACACGATTTATGTATGCTTTCTAGAGTTGATGGATATTTGAGTTGCTTCCCGTTTTGAGCTAAAATAAATAATGCTGCCGTGAATCTTCTTGTACATGCATTTTGGTGCCCATATGTATGCCTTTCTCTTGAGCGTACACCAAGAGGAGGGATTGCTGAGCCTTCGATTATCCATGTATTCAGTGTCAGTACGTACAATTCTCCAAAGTGGTTATGCTAGGTTATACTCCTCCCAAGAGTGTTGTAGCTTCCTATTTGCTCCATGTACTTGTGAACACTTGGTATAGTCAGCCTTTTTAATTCTAGCCATTCTCATGGGTGTAGTTTTAACATATACATGTCTAGTTGTGGTTTTAATTTGTATTTCCTTGATGAATAGTAATGATGAACACCTTTTCATTCGTTTGTTGGCTATTTGGATATCCTCTTTCCAGTCTTTTGCCCATTAAAAAATTTGATTTGTAGAAAGTTTTAGTATATTCTAAAGATAAAACTTCTGTCATATATATGTATTGCTGGTAATAATTGCCTTTCATTCTTTTCGTGGTGTTTTTTGATGAACAGAAGTTTTTATTTTTTAATTTTTTAAATTATAGTCAGTTTACAATGTTGTGTTAATTTCTGGTGTACAGAAGTTCTTAGTTTTAATGTAGTCCAATTTAGCAATCTTTTCCTTTGTGGATAGTGCTTTTTTTTCCATTTAAGAAAATTTTCCCTACCTTAAGGTCATAAGTATATTCTGTGTTATTTTATGGAAGACTTATTGTTTTAAGCTTAGATCTTTTTACAGACTCTGGGTTCTATTTAGTTGCTGGTGAATAGGTATACTTTTGATTATTATACAGTGATCTTATACCTTGAAACCTTGCTGAACTCTTTTATTAGATCTGTTGTTCATACATTCTTTTGAATTTTCTAGGCAGATAATTAAAATACCTGTATATAATGATAGCTTCATTTTTTTCCCTTTCTGACCCATATGACGTATACCTTTTACTTCTTTTTTCCTTCCTTCCTCCCCCCTCCCCTTTCCTTCCTCCTCCCTCCCCTTTCCTTCCTCCTTTCTTTCAACTATATTAGCTAGGAACTCTAATATAATTTGAATAAATGTGATTGTTGGTACCCAGCATGCTTGTTTTATTCCTGACTTTATGGTGAACATCTTCTATGTTCTTCTATGTTAACATCAAGAATTATATTTGCTTTATTTTTCGGTAGTCTTTCTCTTAAGCAAGTATCTTCTGTTCCTGTTTTGCTGAGTTTTTGTTTTATCAGTGCTCTTACTGCATTTATTGAGATGATCATATTTTTAAAAATCTTTTAATCTGTTCATGTAGTGACTCAACATCAATACCTTTTTCTGATGTTAAATCACTTTTGCAATTCTTGGTATAAGCCCTACTTGCTCTTAATGTGTAATCTGTATAAATATTACTTGATACATAATCTGTATATACATACATTGGACTTGGTTTGCTAATATTAATTCAGGGGTTTTAAGTCTATATTTGCATGTGAGATTACTCTTAATATAACTTTCAGATATTGATGAGCATAACTTTCTAATATTATCCTTGCCTGGATTTGGTATCAAGACTATTATTAGTCGCATAGTGAGTTGGGGAGTTCCCCCCCCTCTCTTTTTCTCTCTTAATGGGATGGTATGTATAAGATCAGGGTCATCAATTCCTTGCACAACTGATAGAATTTACCTGTAAAGTCATCTAGACCTGGTATTGTGTGTGTGCGTGTGTATGTGTGTGTGTAGACTTTAAATCATAGATTCAGCTTCTTTAATGACTATAAGGCTGCTTACATTTTCTTTTTTCTTGACTTAGTTTTAGTGAATTTTATGTTCATAGTAGAGTTTTCATTTTTTCCCAAGTTTTCAAAGTTCTTGGCAAAGTTTTCTGTAATAGTCTCTTAAGATTATTAAAATCTCTACTGTTTTGATAATTGTATCCCCCTTTTCTTTCTTAATATTATTTATTTGTGTCTACTTCCCTTTTTTAATCAATTATTCTTGATAGAAGTTTGTCAATTTTATAAGCTTTTAAAAACAGAGCTTTTAATTTTATTGACCTCTCGATTTTATTGGCTTCTGTTCTATATTGTTTACTTTCTCCCATGTCATTGTTCTTTTTCTATCCTTTGAGCTGGGCAGTTCATTAATTTTTGACTTTTGTTATTTTCTTATACGCCTTTAAGTCTATACATTTCTAAATACAACTTTAGGTGGTTCTTACAAGTTTTTGATAAATAGTATTTTTACTGTCATTTTAAACATTTAAAATTTTCCATTATTCATTTTTCTTTAGTCCATGAGTTGTTTTGAAGTGTTTAAAAATTTTCAAACATAATGTCTTTTGGTGAGTTAGCTTAAACCCAGTGTGGTCAGAAAATGTGGTCTGTGTGGTATAGTATGGTACATGATATTCTTTGAGATTTGATGAGATTTGCTTTGTGGGAGAGAACATGGTCATTCTGTCTAAAGGTCCGATATACTTGAGAAGAATGTGTGTTCTCTTATTGTTAGGTGTATGGTTCTATGTATAGTCATTAGATCAAGTTGATTAATTGTGTTGATCAAATTTTGGTTTTTTAATTTACTCAATTTATCAGTTATCAAGAAAGATATATTAAAATTTCCTAGTATGATTGTAGATTCATCAGTTTTTCCTTTCAATTCTGAGGCTTTATATTCCTGAGTATATTTAAGCTCAGAATTGTTTTATCTTTCTGGTGAATTGTCTTTGTTATCATTATGAAGTGGTCCTCATTTCTAATGATGCAATTTGTCATAAAATCTATTTTTCTTATACTAATGTAACTACACCAGCCTTTTGGTTAATATTTCCAAGGGTTATAATTTTCTCATTCCTATACATTAAACTTTCTGTAATCTTATGTTTTTATAAAACCTCTTGTGTATATGTATATGACTAGATTTTAAAAAATCTTACAGAGAATCTCTAGCTTTTAACTGTTCCTTTTGGTCTGTTTATATTTATTGTGATTACCGAGTATTTGTATATCTGTTATTTTGTACTTTCTCTTTATTGAGGTTTTCTTTGTTTCTTTTTCTTCTTTTCTCCTTTCTATTGCATTAATCAATTTTGTTTAGTCCTCTTTGTTCATCTCTGCTTCCTTGGAAGGTGTGTTTTAATTTCTTTTTTTATCTTTTTATTAAAATAAAAAAGCACCTATAGAAAAGTACAGCATACACCTGAAACTAACACAATGTTATAAATCAATTACACTACAGTTTTTTTTGAAAAAGCATAGCTATTGTAAGAAAACGGCTTGATAATTTTCACAAACTGAAACCACTTACATAATCAGCAACCAGATAAAGAAACCAGAACATTCCCAGCACATCAAAGTCTCCCTTATGCTCCCTTCTAGTCACTTGCTACCCTCTACCTCTTGCAGGTAACTGTTAAACTAACTTCTAATGGCATGAATTAGTTTTGTTTATTATACTGTTTAGTATATGTTCTTGTACCTGGATTTTGCACTGTACAGCATGGATTCTTGTGTCTAGCCTCTTTGCTTAAGTTTATGTTTGTGAGATTCATTTAAATTTTTCTGTGTAGTTGTAGATATTTTCTTATGGTTGTATAGTATTTCATTCATAAATAATGTTTATCCATCCTGATATCAGTGGGCATAACTTAAATTTTTTAACACACATACTTGCCTTAAAACTAAAGTTGAAGATATTATTTCCATTGTTTCTAGCTTCAATTCTTGCTCTTGGAAATTGTTTCTAGCTTCTATTGTCACTGTTTTTCTAAATTTTGATCCTTATGGATAATTTGTCTTTTCTCTTTGACTATTTTCACAATCTTTTTGTCCTTGGTTTTCTGCATTCACAAGGTGTCTAAGTGTGAATTTACTTTTATTACCCTGTTTGGAACTCATGCTTCTGAATCTGAAGATTCAACTCTTTCATCAGTTCTGAAAAGTCTAAGCCATTAGCCTGTTAACTTAAGAGCAGTGAGGTTTCATGCAAGATTGTGACACAAGCAAATAAATGTTCAAATAAAAATTACTCTGCTGCTTATTGGTTGGTTACTTTGGGCAAAACATTTGAACAGCTTGTGCCTCAGATTCCCATCTGTACAATGGGGACAATAATAATCCATGTTCTTCATACCTCACAGAGCTGCTTTGAATATCTAATGGAAGAATATACTCAAAATTGCATTGCAAATTAAAATATGGTATACAGATAGCAAAGGACCTAGCTCACTGTAGGTGTTCAATAAAATTTGTTGTAAGTGACCTCAATACATGTCTGGTAAACATTTAATGAATAAACAACTGTAGGATAATATTACTTAAGTATTTTTCTTTTTCTTTTCCTTTCCACAGCCTCCAAAAAGAAATGCAAGAATATGTTACTCACGGGAGTGACCTATGCATATACTCATTATAGATATATATGAGAAGTTGCTGTGATGGTTTAGATATAAAATAGAATTTTATTCAGTTCCCCAATTGTTAGTTTTCTAAAATATAAGCCATTGTCACTACCACTGGTGGTGTTTAATGTTGCTAATCTACTTTTGTTCCTTTTGTCTGTATCAGTCATCAGAAATTTTGTCTGTCCTTGTCTTGGTATTCATTTTTAAATGAATTAATTTAATTTATTTTCTGTATCTCCAATTACATTTTGTGGAGACAGTCTAATGGAAAGTTCATTGGTTTAAAATTAGGCAGACCTGGGACCAAACCTTGGCTTTACTCTTTCATGACCTTGTGACATTAGGCAAGTCACTTTACCTTTCTCATCTTCTGTTTATTTTTCTGAAAAATAAGGAATTCACTTATGATGTGTCTGCCATGTGGCTACTGCTCCTTTAGGCATTTGAATTACTTCATTTGTATCCTTGTAGCAGCCTGACAATATAGATGTTATTATTCCTGTTTTACAGGTAAGGAACCTGGTGTCAGAAAAGTAGAGTAACTTGCTCAGGTTCATAAAAGTAGTATGCATTATAGCGCAGATTTTCACCTGGGATGTCTCATTATTATAAAACCTGTGCCTTCGCTAATATCTGAGAAAATGTTTTGCACAATGCAAGACAGTAAATGTAGGCTCTTTCTTAGGGTAGTGATATTGTTCTGTAATTTTCCAGCACTTGGCATTTTGCCCTGCACATGCACTTCTAGTAGGCACTTCTTAACTAATTGTCTATTGTCTCTAATTATGCTGCTCTTTTAATCATTGCATGTTGACTTTCTAGCCAAAGGGAAAGGACAGTCCCAAACCAGAATGAATCTTAACACTGCCTTGGTTGAGGATATAATCAGCCTGGAAGATGTGGATGAAGAAATGAAGTCTGTAATAGAAGCACTCAAGGATAATTTCAATAAGACTGTCAATATAAGGACCTCACCAGGTTAGTGACTGAATCAATTCTTTGGAAAGTGGCTTCGTGGAAAGCGCATTGCGTTGGTAGAGCTAGGTTGTAGTTCCAGTCTTGTCACTTGCTAATTGGTGACCATGGGCAGTTACTTTACTTCTCTGGTCTTCAGTTTTCTTGTCTAATTCCTACCTTATGGCTTTGGGATGGGTATGAAAATAAATGAGGTAACATGTGTAACAGTCCTAGCACAGTGCCTGACACATACTTAACACTACATTTGTCCATGTAGCAAATATTTGTCTTCTATGAACTAGGCATTGTGCTGGTACACAAAGGTGAACAAAAATAGGCATGGTCTTTGCTCTCAAAAAATGGGAGGTTTTTTAATGACTGTACTATGAACACTCACAGTAACTGACATCTTCGGTCTGATTTTTCCAGCTTGTCCTATTTGGCCGTTCTGATCACTTGCTGCAAGAACCAACTTGCTGCAAACCTGCCCACCTGAGGCATCTCTTTACCCCCGAGCTTGACCAGGGAGATTCCGTTTGGGTTAATAACTTCCTGAAAGTGGCTTTTCTAAGTGGGAAATGTCAGAACTCTCTAGGAGAACTGTTTACAGATGTGATGGAAGAAGTGAGTTGTCAGCTAATGGTGCAGGCAGGCAGGAAAATCCAATTGCTGTTAAATTGGCCTTTTGGAAATTGTCATCATTCTGGAGTCAAGCCTGGGATGGTCTATCAGAGTATCTATGGGAGCTTGGGCTGCTCCCACTCACATCTTGGTTGGGATAGTTCATAAGGAAACTGGAAAATATTTCATAAACTTGTTCCTAAGAAAACGAAAGGAAAAATACACAGCTCCATTTATAAACACCAGCAGAAACACACACAGTTCAGAGACGAGATCCAGTGTGAAACCAGAAGACCATTCTGTCATTGGTCAACCCTGGACTGGGGCATTTCTGCCTTTGCTGACAGTAGAGCATGCCATTCAATCTCTCCCAACTGTTTATTTTAAACTTGCTTATTATTTTAGGTATGAAGCTGATAAAGTGCTTTGTCTCCCCTGTGCTTTCTGGCCTGTTAACATTCTGCAGCCGAAACCAGAGAGCAGTTTGAGAGGAGCTCAGGGAGAAATGTGATACTTAAAATTAGCCAGCAAGCTCCGCTCTTGTTGAACTTAAAAAGATGATGGGCCTGGAAGGAGGTTGGGAGTGTAATTTGTTAAATGTTAACCTCTGCAAAAATGAGGGGCAGGAATGAGGCTGAGGGAGATTCTCGCTGGGGACAGATTGAGGGAAAAGGATTTGATGCATTATGTCGATACGGATTTAGGGAATGGTAACCACCGCAGTTGCATACTGAAAAGCCCTTGTTGGGACTTCTGTGGCAAAGGATCTAATGGCAAGTCAGGAAGGCTGAATTTAGATCCATTTTCAAAAGACCTCCCATTGGTATTTCCTCTTTGCTTCTTTCTCTTCAGGGTTATGTTTGTGCAGCGTTCTGTGTAGAACTTGGGGCAGTGAAGAGACTGGGTGAAGCAGGCTGAACTTAGCCAGTCTTTTTTTTTTTTGCCAGATCCTTCCATATCATCTTTCATTACTGTCTGAACCAGCAGGCACTTTTCCTCTTACACCCCTGTCTATCTATCAGCAGTTCCTATCTCCAAGATAGTTGAGTGCTTTAATAGTCGTCTAAAATACAGGTTTATTCATTTGTTCATTCTTGCCCTCTCTCATCCATCCATCCATCCATCCATTCATTTATTTATTCATCACAGCATTAGTGAGCACGTATTCTGTGCTGATTACAGGTGCAATAGATAGAGAGGAAAGATATTGTTTCCACCTTCCAAGAGCCTAGATCCTAATATGAAGGGACAGACAAGTAAACCAATGTGTGTAAAACCATATAGCAAAGCAGAGCAGTCAAGACCCTGGCTTTGGAGTTGATCAGACCTGGGTTTTGATTTCAGGCTCCATTATTAAGAGCTCTTGTGACCTTGGACAGGTTATTCTCTATGTCTCAGTTTCTGCATCTGTAAAATAGTGGAACTGTCTCATAGGGTTATTGTGATAATGAAAGTAAATCCATTATAGAAAGCATTTAGCACTGCATCCTGCCATAGGAAGTATTCAGTAAATAATGGTTATCATTATTATAAGAGTGTGCACAGGATCCTCGGGAGCTCCTAAAGGAGTTTATAATCCAGCCTAGGAGGTCAGACAGGATTTCTGAGATTAGATGCCATCATAGCTGAGTGTTAAAGAGTGAGCAGGAGTTATCTGAGCAGAGAAGGGCATCCTCAGTAGAAGGAAAAATATATGCTAAGGGTCCTGATGCAAGAGAGGACAGGCTGTATTAGAAAATTATAAGTAGGTTAGTTTGGTTAAAATACAGGAGAAAATTGAGAAGTAATAATAATAGTTAGCATTTATTGGGCCCTTGTAGATGCCAGGACACAGTTATAAGAGCTTTCCATAAACTCTTTCATTTAATACCCATAACAACCCTGTGAGATAAGTACGATTTTAATGCCCCATTTAGAAATCAGGAAACAGACGCCCAAAAGGTTGAAAGGACCTTCCCAGGGTCACACAGTCAGGAAGTGGCAGGGTTGGTATTTGAACCCAGGTCATTGGTCTTTAGAATCATGGACTTTTCCAGATTGAAGCCAGTGGTGTCAACAGCCTTCTAGCTTGTGATGGCATTGAGCTGAGTACTGCGTTTCAAATCAGACCTTTGGGCCATCGTATGGTGCTGCGTTATTCTAACAGTTTGCCAGGACAACTCCCAATTTGTTCAAAAGACCCTTTCCTCTCACTGTTAACTCTTTGTGTATCAGGATGAACCATCCATGAGTGGTTCTTACTGTGAATGGTAAGATTTTTCTCCTAGTTCTCATTTGCATGGGAAATCAGGGAGTCTGAATAATGCCATTTTTCCATCTGTAAGTATATGCTTACCTTCTTGGCAAGAAAATTTTGCCCGGGGTTTTCCAGAGTTCAGATGTGGACAGAGATCAGATCCAGGATAACAGTGAAGTAGTAATGGTGTCTCCCCCCGCCCTTCCTAAAGGGGATCTAAGTGCCAAAATCAAGGTGGTATAAGGAAAGAGTTTCAAACCTGGCTGCATGTCAGAATCATGTGGTGATCTTTAAATAAAAAAACTTACAATCTCCCCCCCGAATCACAGGCTTCCCAAGCCCCTGTGGAATCAGGATCTCTGGGGGTGTGGGATGTGGAGCCTCGAAATCTAAATTAAAAAACTCCCTGGGGATTCTGATACACAGCCAAATTTGAGTTACACTGATCAGGGAAAGAGGCTTGATTAGAGCTGGAATTAAGCACACCTGAGTTGGGGCTGGGCTCCTGCTCCGTTTTCCTTTTGTTAGCTCCGTAATCTTGGTCTCTTTAACCTCCCCACTTCTCCTCTGTGTGTGCAGTGGAGATAGTGATCCAGTGTTAGAGGCCAGTTGTAAAAACTCAAAAGACTAGTCAGTACCTTTTTTATGTTTATTTTTTGGTGTTTATTGTATAGTCACTTGCTTATATTTTGTTATAATCCTCACTATAATCCTGTAAAGTCATCATTTTTTAGTTGAGTTGGAAACCAAGTTACAGAGAAGGTAAATAACTTGCCTGAGGTTTCATGGTTAGTAAATGGCCAACTTACTGGGAGGTGACCAGTACTCTTTTCTTTTAGTTCTCAAAGTTCGATGTCACAGAAAACTGCTCAGGGCCAGGCAGACCAGGACAGTTGGCCACCCTGGTTGCTGGTAAGGAATTCCATCCTAGTTCTGTCAACATGTCAAAGCTCTTTCCATCACATGACACCGCCGCTCCCATGAAAGCCCCTTGAACTGTCTTACCACATTAATAAGGGACCCTAAATATTAGTTGAATCTGAATTTGATAGAGACTTAGATGTGGGCCTGCTGAAGTCCTTCTGAATTCTGAGACCCTACATTTTTCTTTTAGGATCCCTTGATCATATCACGGTGGTAACTGCTAATGGGAAGCTTGCTTTAAACCAGATTGGCCAGATCTCCATGAAGTCGCCACAGCTGATTTTGGTGAATATGGCCAGCTTCCCAGAGGTAAGGTGGCCTGGCTGAAAGGGTCCCTCGCTGTGGTCTCTTTTTCTCTTTTGGAATTGAGGAGACTGGGTCAAGTCAGGAGGAAGTATTCTCTCCAGTTTGGGATGGAACAAGAGAGAAAGCATAATTAAGGGAACTTAAAGGCAAGGAAAAGCTCTCTTCCTGTTTCTAAATTCCTTTTCTGTTTAACTCAAACACTGTAGAGGCCAGGCAAATAATCTGAATACTGAGACAGGCCCCATCTAAGAGAATAATAGTGAAAATGTGGGGACTGGCCCTTGGCTGTCGTGGAGGGGCTATGATAGCCTCTGCCCAGCTCCCGCTGATCCTTCCCAGGCAGAAATGCAGGCCTGGGAGTCAGATATTACCAGATACTAAGATTTTAACTTACAGAAGCAGCCAATAACCCAAATTTTATGTAAGATCTTTGTTAACTATTGATAACTAATTCCCTTTTTTTGTTTGTTTTATTTTAAGACTGTGACAACATATTAATGGGCCTTGTTTGGCCTGTGGGCCACCAGTTTGTGACTTCTGCATTAGTATTTGGAGCAGACCTTCCAGGAATTCACATTCCTTTCAAACTGGGCTGACCCTTGTAGAATATTGCACAGAGCACAGTGCTTCCAAGGCTGGAAGGTGGGTTGCTTTAGGTCACTGCAACCTTGAGGCTGTAATTTTCAGTCTAGTTGAGGAAGGTAAATGGGCCTTTCCTTATTGGTCCAGTAGGAATTGACCTGGATTGGGAGTCCTAGAGGACCTGGAATCTGGTCCCATCTCTCCCGCCAGCTGGCTGTTTGGCCTTGTGTAGGTTGCATCACTCTGGGCCTTCATTTCCTTATCTGTTACTATGAGCTGAAGGAATCTGAAGTCCCTCCCTATTCTGATGGTCTCTTTCAGTAGTTCTAGCCCAAAGACGTAGACTAAAGTTGACCCTGCTGAATTTGACAAACTGGATTAGAGATTTGAGTAAGAGAAAACCCTTGCTATGAATGAATCATTTCAAATCAGAGCGCTCTTGTAGCTGATGTGCCAGCCACACTTGTGGGGGGCTGTTACTCATTACTCCCCATCTCTATTTTCCATATTACAGCCAGAGCGAGCTTTAAAAAATATATATTGGGTTATGTCATTCCCAGGCACTCACTGTATCATTGGCTTCAAGTAATCTTTAAGAAAAAGATGACCATGGCCTGGAAGGCTTTGCATGATATGGCCCCTGCCTGTCTCTGCAAACCCTCCAGTCCCACGGTCATTCTTGCACACTGCTCTCACCACGCTAGCCTTTCAGTTCTTCATTCCCTTTACATCCTTGGGGCCTTTGCATATTCTGTTCCCTTTTCTTAGAACGCTCTTGTCTGACTAATTGCTGCGCGTATTTTGGATCACAACTGACATTACTTTCTTAGGAAAGCCTTCCCTAATCTACCCAATCTCAGTTGTTCCTCCACATTAACCACTTTTTACAGCACAATTCTTTTCCTTCATTGTACTTATCATTATTAATAGTTATGCATAATTCTTTACATCTTAATTTTCCATCTTGCTTTCACTAGATTGTAAGCTTGGAATGTAGGGGTCATATCTAAATTGCACATTTTGTCCAGCATGTAATGCAGTGCATGGCACATGGACACACTCAGTAAGTTTTCCTCAGTTGAAAGTATACTTGTCATTAGGTTAATGGAAGGGAGACACTCATTCCTGGGGTTACTGAGGAGCAGAGAGATGGACAGAAAGGGAACTGTCAACTCTTTCCCTTTCTGGCCCCCTCTGAACCAGTGAGGCCTCTCCACCTTGTTCATCTAATCCCATAGGCACTGCGGGCCAATTTAGGGAATAGCCTCCTGATTACACAGCTTGAAGACCTCATCAGGCAGATTGCTTTTCAGAGCCAGCCACTTCTGTTATTAAATAGCAAATGGCATTCACAGAAGAAGCATCTGATTGGCCACCAGAGCATCTTATGAGGCAGGAGGAGGTATTAACAGCTTAATTTTTTCTTAGGAAGTTGGAGTATATCTTCATTTTTCAAGCAAAGCTTTTTTGCCATTTCTCCAAGTTGAAATTCTCTGGGTTTTGGAAAAAAAAAACATCTACAATCATCTCAGTAGGAAGGTTCTTTACAAGGACAGAGTGAGGAAGTGTGAGTTACATTGTCTTTTGAATTCCTTTATCTCATCTGGTGTATATATTAAACAAATAGCTCTAACTAAACATTTCCTTCCTCTAGTTTAGAAGCTGTCCATGGAGTACCCAGGTTTATAGGTTCAAAATGCTGAGCTAATCCTCTCAGTGTTTATGTAATTCCTTTCTGTTTCACATGCGGTTGGCTTTCTTTTCAGACCTGAACATTTCTGTGTCATGCCGTAGAGACACGGTGCAGATTCACATGCATAATCTTTTCAAATGCATTGAGGACAGATAACTGCATTGCATTTGTTTAGCATGTGTCCTGCTTGATAAATGATACACACGGTTGCTGCCTTCCATAAACTTGCCTGCAGCTAGAGTTAATGATGGGAAAGAAAAGAAGGGAGTGAAAAACCACAGCATGCTTTGAACAAGGCAATTAAAAAAAAGAAAATTCTGTAGGCTCCATTATTGCTCTCATAGAAGGAAGAAAGCAAATGTGTGTTGAGCATCTCCGGTGTTGCCAGACACTACTTTCTCATGCTTTGTTTCATGTGATCGACACAAATACTCTCTGAAATTAAACATTATTTATTCCATTTTATAGGTGAGGTGACTGAGGCTCAGAGAAGTAGACTCTCTCTTCCTCAGGTTCACACTGGTGTGATTGAGCAGAGATTTGAGCATGTCTGTTCAGCACTGAAGCCTCTGCTCCTTTCACTGTCTGTTCATTAATTCAACAGATATTTTTTCGTTTTGATTTTATTTCATTTTTTATTTTTTTTTTACAAACCCTTGTGTCGAGGGCTGACTTTCAATAGATCGCAGCGAGGGAGCTGCTCTGCTACGTACGAAACCCCGACCCAGAAGCAGGTCGTCTACGAATGGTTTAGCACCAGGTTCCCCACGAACGTGCGGTGCGTGACGGGCAACAGATATTTTTTCGAGTCCCTGCAAGTCAGCTGTTGTCTTAAACCCAAACTGTCAAGGACTTGTTCACCTGTCTCTTGTCCTTTAGCATAGACACGCACTAGGTATGAGTGTAGGTGCGAGTGAGTTAGGTTTATTAGTTTAAGAGTAGTAACAGCAGACATTGCTGATGGATCACAGCACTCTTTCCTGCCTGACCCCAGGTGGGATCTGTGATCTTTCTCAACAAGGGACTCCAGGCAGCCACAACCAGTGGGTTAGTGTTGCTGTTTGCCTTTGGGTACTGGTGGGCATCACTTCAGTGAGGGGATAAAGGCTAAGAGATGGAAATGCAATAGAAATATATACCTTTTTGTCTGAACCATGAGTAGTTCCAAAGTCATGTAGGGAAAATGATTATAATTCCCTGAGTTTCTGTGTCCCACCAGATCAAACTAAAGTATGCACATTTAGAATATTTTTGAAGAACAACCTCTTTTAGTAGGTCTTTTTTGCAAATGAAATCTCTCCTGATTCACATTTTTTTCTGCATGTGAAAGACACAGAACAAGCATAAAATAGTATAACATAAGGCTTTTCAAAAAAGCTCATTGAGTAAGTATATTAATGCACAGATCTGAGCCAGTGCATTAATATGCTTATTCAGTAAGCTTTTCCTGAGCACTTACCATGTGCTTCGCACTGAGTCTTAGACTGGGAAGATGTAAATATTGAGATACAGTTCCTGCCCAGCTTGGAAGCAGCAGAGGCTGCTCCCATGCCTGCCTGGGAAGGTTGTGTGGCAACACTTGGTCCAGACTGTGGAAGGGTGATGGTTACAGCTGAGTTGTCTGTCATTCAGTGAGAAGCTTCAGAAGACAAGGATTGGGAGACTTGAAATTAGGCCACTCCTTCAATGTGGTGATTCTCCCCTTACTGCTAACTTTAAAAATCTGTGTTTCATTTCATTAAGGGAGGTGGCAGTTCTCTTGCAGAGGAAAATTCCATTTCTTTATCCAACTCCTTTATTTGCCTTGGCCATACCCTTTATACACCAGACCTAATTCCAGATTCTTTTTGGCTATTAAAAAAAGATCATATTCCCTGTGCCAAAATGACTGAATACATTGAGCTAGGGGATGTGGAAAAAAAATAGAGCCAGAGTAATATCACTGGATGGAGAGCTGAGGAGCCCAGAGTCTTCTCTTAGCTCTGCCAGTAACCTGAAGGAGATGGGTGTGATCCTCATGCCATTGCTCTTGGCGCTCAGGGACTGTGTCTGTGCTTAGGGATGTGACCTTTTTGAGTGGGTCCCTGCATACATAAGGGAGGGACTGTACCTGATGATGTCCAAACTCTCTTCCAGCCCCAATAGTCTGTGGTCAGAGGTACATTTTAAGAGTTTACAATTTTAAGCGGTGGCCACACTGTTAGATTCTGAGTATAGCCTCCCAAGGGGATGGTTTATCTGCATGTGGAACGCTAGTTTGTCTTTTTGACCTTATGGTAATACCTCATGTCCCTGTAGAATTAAGGTCATTTTAGAATGTAATGGAGAAACTTTATAGGGACTCCCTTCAAAAAACAAAACAAAACCTGGAAAAGTAGAATAGGTGTGCAACAAATTTATCTAAACTAGAAAGTATAGGGAGGAACTCAAGGCTGGGAATTGACTCTGTGAATCCAAGTGATGTGGACTGTCATTGCCAGTGAAGTGACCTCTCTTCCACACTGTTTTCTTTTATACTTTAGGATTACGAGCCAGGTGTGGTTATAATGTTGCTTGAGGTGAGACGAGGCACTTTGGGCAATCAATGTAGCAGTGTGCCACCTGGCACATTAGAGAACTAGACTGTGTCCGAGAAGACCCTGGAGGATGTCAAGACAGCAGTGCATCAGCTAAGTGATGGCATCAGCTCAGCCTAATTTAGGGGTTTTGTGCATTCTTACCTTTATGTAATAAGTTTATAAAATAGCGCCCCTTGCCTGGGTGTTACAGGCACCCAGGCGCAGAGCAGGATGCGTTGCTCATGTTACCTCATTTCATCCTCCCTGAGATACAGTACCACATGGTCTCACGTTACAACATGGAGGCTCAGAGAGGTCAAGCATGTTGCCCAGGGTCACATGGTTAGCGGACCTGGGATTTGAACTGAGATCTTTTTGACTCCAAAGCCCGTGCTTGTAACTGGTGTACTGTACTACTTTTCTTGGAGCACACAGCAGCAGAGATTCGTTGCTCATGCCAAAGCATGAGTGAGGTTGATGTGCGCGTAGATGCGAATGAGTTAAATTTATTTACTCATTCCAAATCGGCACTGGTATATTTTGAGTGTAAAATGTCAACTGGAATTTTTAATGTATAAAATCTTTCAGCTGTCTTTACACCAATCTTTGCACAGTCCAGCCCCCCTCCCTAGAGAATTTATTGTGGTTTTGATCTGTGTTGCCTCAAACCATTGAAATCTTTTCAAAGAAGCAGAGCTGTTTTCTTTTATTTTTCCTTCTCTTTGCTTTTTTCCCTCCCGCAGTACACTGGTACCGGGAGTGGACATAGTTTGCTGTTCAGCTTGATCAAAGCACTCTACACCAATGTAACTTCCTGATCTTACTGGTAACAGAACTAAATGTTTCCATGTTCTGCCAAGATGGGTTGCCAGTTATCGACAGAGGGCTTGCATCTGGTAATAATTATTTACTAATTCTGTTTACCTTTTGATCTGGTTTTCAGTGTACAGCTGCAGCTATCAAGGCTATAAGAGAAAGTGGAATGAATCTGAACCCAGAAGTGGAAGGGACGCTAATTCGGGTACCTATTCCCAGGTAAGTCTGGCTGAAATTCGCATATTTTGATGCAGTGGGGCAGTTGTCTTTGGAAGGAAATCAACACTCCATGATACTGTTAGGCCAACAGCATACTTTACCTATACCTCTCATCCTGGCAAACTCCAGCATCTTTTGAGATCCAGTTTACTGAGTCAGATGCAGCAGTAAACTTGACAAAGTTCTTGTCTTCATGTATTTTACATCCTGGTTGGGAAGATAGGACACATAAATAGGGAAAGTCATTCCAGAAAATGAAATGCTATGCAGAAAGAAAGGTAATGTGATCCAGTAGAGAGCAACTTGATGAGGTGATGGTGGCAAGGACAGCTTTAGCTGGGAAAGACTCTTTAAAGAGGTAACATTTTTGCTGACAGTTGAATATTGAGAGAGAGCCAGGCTAGGGGGAGAGCTTTCTAGGCAGAGTGAGCAGACAGCCTAGAGACCCTGACTCAGAAAAGACCTTGATGCTTGTAATCTCTAACTCAGGTTCCTTACAGAGTCATTTTCACATTAGTCCTTGCTTGTTGAAGAATTTTAGGCATAAGAACAGAATATTGTTAATTATATAAATATGGAGAACTTAAGAGTTTTAAATGCATGAAAACATGTTTATTTTCAAATTAAAAAAGAAAAGAAATGACAAGACCTTGACATGTTTGAGGAAGAGAAAGCTGTTGTGTCTGAAACACAGGGAGGGAGGGAGGGACCGGTAGGAGATGGGGTGGGACCAGTGAGAGGATGGTGCTCTGGGTGTTACAGGCTGTGGTGAGGAGTTTGGGCTGTACTCTGACTGTAGTGGGAAGCCACTGGGGACACTTAAGCAGAAGACCTGATCTGATGTTGACTTTTCGGGAGTCTCTCTGGCTGCTGAGTAACACATGGAATGTTGAGGGCAGGGTAAACACAGGGAGAAGAGTCAGGAGGCCACTGTAGTGGTCCAGGTGAGATGAGAATCTTCTCAGATGCCGTAGCAGGCAGAATTCATTTCTCCTGTAGTTTCATTTCTTAATTACCTTTAAATCCCTATTCCTGCACACTGCCTCACATATAATAAGTCCCAAATAAGTATTGAATTCATTCGTTCAGTCATTCAACAAATATTTATTAAGCACAAACTGCATGCCAGGTACTTTCCTAGATATTGAGATAGAACAGTAAACAAAACAACAAGAAGTCTCCATCCTCCCAGGCCTTACTTTATAGTCAAGTAGGCACAGTAAATGGGGAAGTAAATAAATGTGTAATGTAATGGCAGGTGATGATAAGGATAGTGAAGAAAAAAATAAGCAAGCTAAAGGGATAGAGTTGGGGGTTTTATTGTAGACAGGAAGGTTCAGGAAGGAAGTGGCATTGGAGCAGAGACCTAAAAGAAATGAATGAATGAAGCTTCCAAATAACTGGAAGGGAGATGGAATGTGTTGCATGTCAAGTCATTCTGTGCCACTGGCATCCTGTATTCCTTTATACGTATCACCTCATTTGTCGCACAACCTCTGTAAAGTAGGTGCTTTCCAGGTGTGAAAATTTAGGCTCAGAGAGGTAAAGTGGTATCTCTGAGGTCACACAGGTTATGCTGAAGCTGAGGCCTAGCCCCAGGTTTAGTTGAGTCCAAAGCATCATGATGCACCCATGCTAGCAGCTAGAATTAATACCAACACCGAGAGTCCAGGAACTTTCCCCACTGAGCTTTTTTCCTGCTTTATGGCAGAAAACAGCTGCCTTATTCCATCATGTGCTCGGTACTCTGTAAGTCCGAATTAACACTCTGCTTTCAAGTCATGTGAAATGGGAGCAATATAACATAGTGTTTAAGAAGCATAGACCTGGGTTCAAGTCCAGTACCTGTTTGCCTGGTTAGTTCATTGATTTGCTTAGCAGATTTTCTACAGTTGTGTTATGCACTAGCCTCTGTGCTGGGTGCTGGGTATGTACGGACCTGATATTTGCCTTTGTGGAATTCAAGGCTGTGCCAGGCCTCTTGTTTGTATGACCTGCAGCTTACTTGTGGAATTTACTCTTACCCACAGTTTATAGATGAAAAAAACTGAAAATCAGAAAAATTAAGGGACTTGCTCAAGACCACATGGCCAGTTAGTAGCAGTCAGCATTTGAATCCTGAGTTTCTCTGTCTAGGGTCTAGGCTGTTTCTCCTGTGCTCTCTGTATAGATAAGTAATTCTGGAAAGTGCCAAGACTCATGGACATCAGAAGCAAGACCGGCAAGTGGAATGGATAGTAGTCAGTAGGTTTATTTTTTAGTTCTTGCTCTCCTGTCTGTGAGATCTTGGGAAAGCCCCTTAACCTCCCTGAGCCTTGGTTTCCTCATTCACGAGATGAGGGGGCCGCTCCCCGTGGCCTGCCGGGCCCCTTGCAGAGCTCCGGGATGCTGTGATGCTGGGAGTTGGTGCCGCAGCGTGCTCGGTGCTGGCTTGGCTGCTTCTTAGAGTGGCCCAGTTGTGTATCACGCTTTTCTTTCAAAGAGCTTGTTAGCACGACGTGCGTCCCTGCAGCCCCACACGAGTTAATGATTGCTCTTGTGCGTTGTATATAAGTTTGAAAGGTCAGTGAGTTTAGCTTGAATTTCCAAAGATGTAGGGAATCTGTTACACTATATTTTGCATTATTTTATGTTGGTTAATGGGTGTAATCCAAGAGAAAGTTGACGGACCAAAACCGTCTGCTCCTGCAAACCTCATTTTTTATATACTTTCTTCCCCTTTGACAAGGTGGTAAGGTCATGAGGCCCCTTACTGAATTATACATTTGGTCGTTTTCCAGATAAAAAATGAACGATCTGTTCTTTATTATGGAGGCTGTGCCATGTGAGACGATAAAGGTTGACTTAGACGTGAAGAAGACCAAGGTTTTTATTTGGTTTTGGCAGTGACTCCCATATGACTCCAGGCATGTCACCCTGGCAGCATTACTGCCTTCTGGTTCCTTATTTGTAAAATAAATGAAATAATACATGATGATAGGTAGAGATTTAGTGAGATTAGTAGAGAAAATAGATTAAATAGTGTGTTCTCCTCAGAGGAAAGAAGCTATATAAATATAAGATACTAGTACTATTTCAGCAGACTTAAAATTTTCTATATATACATATATAATATAATTTTACTTCAGGAGAAAAGGAAGAAGTGAGGATGGGGACTAATATGTTGAGTACCAGCTATACACCAGGAACCATTAGGTGCTTAACATACTCGGAAAAGTGGAAAATTATGATGGTTAAATTGGTGCCGTGGTGTCCAGAAGCATGAAATTGCGTTCTGATCCTTCTCCTTTTTAGCTGTGTGACAGTGGCAACTATCTCTACCTCTCTGAATCTCAGAGAGCTCATCTGTAAAATATTTATAGGACTTGCCTTATATGGTTGTTGTGAGATTGGGGACACAAAGCTTTTGATGTTTGGCAAGCACCCGGTTAATGTTAGCAAATATTTCTTCATCCACTTTTAATAAGTAGGTAGGTGCATCACTCCCTTTTAAGGGTGAAGAAACTAAGATTCAAAGAGGTGACACATTGGCTCTAGGTCACCCAGCTGGTAATTGGCAAAGCTGTTAAGAGGAAAATAACACCCTAAAGCTTGTTAGGAGGTGGGAGGGAATCAGAAGCATAAATTCCGAGTTTCTGATGGTAAAATTTCAAGTTTAGTTCTATAAAAATTTACCTTTCCTGGTTGATTGTGGTTCTTCCTCTGCATAATTATAGTCTGCAAGTTTGCTTTTTCTCCTTAACTCTGGATGCCCAGAATTAAGTTTTATTGCAGTTGCAGCAGATCTCAGCTGGTACCTCACCCTCATTACACTTCTCTGATTCTTATATTCTTATTTAAATGAGTCTACTGAGTACGTGACTCTTAACTGTAATCTGCCTCCGATCCCTTTGGAAAGTAGGCGGAAGATAAATCCTAAATCAATAACAGGTCAGACTTGGAGCCTGAGTGGTTCTTATCACCAAGCCTTCTTTTCATAGCCTCTGAGAATCCAGCTGTGTGTGGTTGTGTGCGAGTTTTTCTCCTGGCTGGCCTCTGGGTTCCTTGTCCCCACTGACAACGTGTGTAGCTTTTGTTTTCTTCTCTGGCCAGTGAAGTCAGTCCACTGAATGGATTCTTTGAACATTTCTGTTAATCAAGATTCACTGATACAGTTTCTTCTATTTTTCTTTCTTATTTATGTAATCAAATTCTGGGTACTGTTTATTGACCACCTGCTCTACGGGTGTAATGCCTGGAGGTGCTGTGCTGAATGCTTGAGGATTTCATCGTGAATTCTCACACCACCACTCTGTGGTCAGGAGACTGTTCTTATGCCCGCCTGCCTGATGAGAGATCTGAAGCTCCCAGGAGTCAGTGCCCCCTGTCATAGGGCTACCAAGGGGCAGAAGCAGAATGGAACTCAGGTCTTACTTCCTGCCTTTTTCCCTGTTCTTGTCTTCTGATGGCAGGTTCATCTGGTATATCAGTCTTTTTAATCAGGGACCCTGAAAAGTTTTGAGCAGGAGTTTATTTTGATCAGGCCAGATTTCTGCCCCCACCCCATTCACATCTTCATTATGCTCCCAAACAAACCAACAATTACTGCCTCCTTACTCATTGTTCTACCAAATATCGATGAGAAAACCACACAAAGTAGAATGAGGCTGCTTTGGTTTGCAAGCACTGAGTTCACGTCTGGCTTTAAATAAACCTGTAAGGAATCACGAATTCGCTGCAGAAATAAAAGCACATAAGATTGACTCATTCCCCAGCGAGGCTACATCCTTCCTGGATTGTCCTCCCTTTCATTTTTTCTCATCAGTGTCTGTAGTGGTTTTGCTTTAAGTAAAATTAAATGAAAAATTAAAGTACTTCCATCCTATTCTCCATAGGGCACTACTTTTGGTATCTTGATTCACCAGATTTTTCTTTTATGCAACTTCAGACACATTTTCCTTGTAATGATATGGGATTATATTATACATCCTCTTCTGCACTTTTAAAAAAATTTAGTGCGT